ACCTGGTGCCTGCCTCTGTTTCAGGAGTCAAGTAGGCTAGGTCAGGCTGTCATATGGTGTGGAAATCCTGCCAGCTCCCTGTAAAAGTCAAAAACCTCCTTCATTCTGGGATTTGAATGCTTTTCTTCAGGGCCTCCATCATGTTTTATGTAGGAACTCTCTCTTCTAATGCAGCTCCTCCCTGTTTCTTTCCACTACAGGGCTCCATCATGCAGTCTCTGGAATGATCCTCCATTGCCTCCATTTCTTCTATTGCTCTTCCCTTCAAGGCCCAGACACAACCCCCCCTCCCCCGAGCTGTGAGACTGTCTCTCCCCACCCGTGGATGGAAGTTTCTGTCCTGCCTGGTCCTGCAGCTGTTTAGTCCCAAATAAACACACATAGACTTGCACTAAGTATAAACTGTTTGACCTATGGCTCAGACTTCTTATTGGCTAGCTCTCTCAATTATTAACACATTTCTATTAATCTGTGTATTTCTACTTTTGGTTTACTGGAGAATACTGGCTGTCCTATCTTCCCAGTAGCTACATAACATCTCTTCTGAGGCTCCTCTCTGCCTTCTTCTTCCCAGAATTCTCCCAGACTGGTAGCCCTGCCTATACTTCCTGCCTGGCTACATCCTGCCTGTCCATTGCCCAAAACAGCTTTTTTCATGAACCAATAATATAAACATATATTCACAGCATATAGAAGGGCATCCCCCATCAACCTCCCCCAGCTGTGAGGTTGCCTATCACCTCCTCCAACTGTGAGGCTGTCTCTCCTGAAAGGAGATGTTGTGTTCCCTCCTTTCCTGAACCTGCTGCTCTTTCTCTTTCTCCTTCTATTATTATTATTTCTAACACTGTTGCATTTACAATAAGATCCAAATTTCTCTGCCTTTCTTAACTCTCATTTCAAACCACTTCCTGTCAGTTCTCAGAATGAGTACAGGTGGTTCTTCCCTGCTTCCTTGTCTTTCATCATCTCATTTTAAATGATGTTTTTGTTTTGTTTTGCTTTGTTAGAGACAGGGTCTCTCTGTGTAACAGTCCTGGCTGTCCTGAAACTTGCTTTGTAGACCAGGCTGGCCTCGAACTCACTGCCTGCCTCTGCTTTCCAAGTGCTGGGCCTAAAGGTGTGAGCCTGGCTTGAACGACATCTTATAAAACATCCTTTTATACATGTTTCTCTTGCCCTAAATCAGGTACTTCATTTCATCTCATTGATTTCTGTTTCATCCTCCAAATCTTTTATTTATTTATCTTAATTTAGTTGTTTACTTCTATGTTGTTCCATGTGGTAGACATGCCTTTTAGACATACAGAAATAGCTTTGTTGGGAACTCCATTACAGCCAAGACTGTATCAGATAACCAGAATCCAGTGACATCATTCACTCAAGATAAGCAGACACAAGTACATATGCAGAGAACTCCAGGATGCCCATTTGGCACAGTGTATATGCAGACACAGAATATTTGCTTTACACAGCATCAGGACTGCTGTGGACGTTGGAGAGAACTCAGCCTTAATTTGCCCTGGGGCTGGAGTGTTTCTCCCAGGGTCCTGACCCTACAACTAGACACTACATGAGAGACTGGGCCTGACCTTCTGCTAAGACACACCACACAGGTGAACAGCTTTGGGGAGATATGCTTAGGGCCATTTTAGGGATTCAAGAGTGTGAACATTGTGTGATGATCCTCAGCAAAATAAGTACAACTTTTGTTAGCCAGGTATGGTAACAAAAGACATCTGCCTGCCTGAATGTGGAGATTCAGGCAGGCAGATGTCTGTGAGTTCGAGGCCAGGCCAGCCTGATCTACAAAGCCAGTTCCAGGATAGCCAGAACTGTTATACAGAGAAGTCTTGTTTTGAAAGAATAATGACAGCAAAGACAATAAGCAAAATACAAGGGGCCTGCACTGCAGGCTGCTTAGAGCTTTTGTGAGCACTGAAGTTAAATGCTGGAAGCTATTTGTATTTTCATTCCCTAAACGAGTTTGTTTGAACCATCTGTAGCTGCACTTGTGCTTGAGCACAGGAGGGCTGGAGGTATTTGTGTGGGGAGAAAGGGCACAGGGGGCACAGGGAGACACACAGGCAGGAAATACATCAGGGCATGTGCTTGCCCCTCATTGGACCTGATGGGAAATGCGAAGACCTTGTGGGGTTGCTTTTTTTAGGCTTCTCAAGGCATGACTTGTGGCCATTTCTCTGGGAACTCTGAAATGGACCTGGCTAGAGCCCATCCATCTAGCTGGTATTTAATTAAAGCTTGCTTCAAACTTGGCTTTAAACTGTTGTAGTGGTTTTATTCTCGACCAGTGGGATTAGCATAATATATACATTCAGTTCACTGGTCTTGTTGTTAGGAGTTAGAGTTTATATTTAGTAGGGACTGTAGAAATCTCCTAAACAACTATGGGAGCCAAAGTTATATTTTAAGTTTTATTTGCTATGCCTAGGAGATCCATGAAACAAAAATGCCTCTGATCTGCAAGCCCCTTGCCCAAAGCTGGAGGCTATTGTTTATGGACAATAACAAGCCACGTGTTTCCACTCCCCTAGACAAATTTGTTTGATTCATCTGCACTAGATGTGCTTGATCACACATGGGTGGGCAGGAGGCTCAGGAGCAGGAAATAGGTCAGGATATATCATTGCCCCCGATTGGACCTGATGGGAAATTTGCTGGCCAGCTCTTAGATGCACCCCAGTAAAAATCAAACTTGCTTCAAATTTGGTACAAATATGGTAGTGGTGGGATTAACAGAATCATTCTTATTGTACAAACACAAAATCAAGGTTTAAAGAGAGTGAAAGATTTGTCTGCAGCCAAGAAGAGTGCCTTTCTCTAGTACCAGTGTTATAGAATTAATATAATGTCATAACAATGCTACACTACATTGTTATAGAATTATCATATCTCCTTCCCAGTGAGAATCACCACACTCAGAGATCAATATAAAAAAGCACTCCTTAATAACAGTGTTCATCCACCTCTGGCTCCTGCTCCAAGAGAAGACCGTCTTCAGTAAAAAATTCTACTAACTTACATATCTTAGACTTATGCATCCCAACAGTCTGTAGTTGTTTTTCGTTTGTCTTTTCTCTTTGTTCTTTGGGGCCCTGACACCCAGCTCCAAAATAAACACACAGTGACTTATTCTTTCTTATGGATGCCCAGTCTTAGATTAGCTTATTTCTAGCTAGCTTTTCTTCCTTTATCTCATCTACCTTTGTGCTTATACCTTTCTTTATTCTGTATACCTTTCTTTACTTCTGACTCTGTAGCTAGCTCTGCAGCCGGCTGGCTAGCTGACCCCTGGTGTACACTCTCCTCCTTCCTTTTCTCTCTTCTATTTATTCTTTCTGCCCGCCAGCCCCACCTACTTTTCTCTCTCCTGCCTACCTATTGGCCGTTCAGCTCTTTATTAGGCCAATCAGGTGTTTTAAGCAGGCAAAGTAACACAGTTTCACAGAGTTAAACAAACCCATCATAAAAGAATGCAACACATCTTTGCATCATTAAACAAATGTTCCACAGCATAGATGAATGTAAAATATCTTACGCTGATATTCCACATAGGCCATCATCCTTAAACCCTTTTCAGGTTACATCTTGAACACTTTAAATGGAGATAATAGACAGCAAGTCTAGGCAGGTAGGAGATTGACACAGCAAAGATATTGTCAGGATTATTCTTAAGTATACCTGTGTTTTTCTTTTCAAATAGTTGTCACCCAGGTTCACCTTACCCACCTGGCAGAATTATTTTTCCTATGAAGAGACAGAGTCAATGGCAGGTCAGGCCTTAGGGATGGTTGTGGCCCTGCTCCCTGCTCTGCCCCTTGAGTGGTCTCTTAGAGGCACAATCTTTGATATGGTGTGGACTTAATGGCTGATTATAGACTCCTTTTATGAGATGGAGTCTAACTGGAGGTCAGTGAATAAACATTAACAAAAACTTCCTTAGGACCCTAAACTTTAATCATGGCACAAAATTTTCTTTCTTACGGTTTGCAGCTAGCCTGGTTGTACACTACTTTTCTTCCAGTTGTGTACATTTAGCTTGGGCAGCGATCCCTTAGCTAAATGCTACTTTGTATAACTTAATATTTCCTAAGCATGTTTATTGTTATCCTTTAGAGCATCAATCTCACTACTTCAAATATGTTGGGTTGGGTTTTTTTCCCCAAAATGATTGAATAGGTGTTTTTCCCTTTTGCTCCGTAATTTCTTATTTTTATTTTATTTATTTTTTTAGGTTTCCTTAACAAGACATGGAATGGAGTTCTACAAGAGAGTATAGGACCTGTTCAGCAAGGCCATTTCATTCCCTTTGTTTCTCTCTCCTGCTGTGGCTTCGTTCGACTCCTCCTCTCTCTAAGGACTCCCTGTCACCGCCTCTTTTCGGGCTCGGCTGCCCCAAACAAATATGGCGCCGGCGCTTCAGCTCTGGCGGAAATGAGCTCACACGACACCGGAAAGGAAGGCGGGGAAAGCTAGCAGGCGGGTGGGTGACCGGCTGTGGGTGGGGCGGTGGCCGGGGCCCTTGCTTTACGTTTGGGGCTGGGGAGGCTCCAGGGACCGGTCCAGTCCGGTGTAGTGCGCGGAGCATCAGGGATAGGGGTGTCGGAAGAGGCCGCCGCGAACCTCTCTCTCCTCCGGCCGCAGCTGAAGCGGCCTCGGCGGAGCCCGCGTCCCGCCGGGCGGCGTCTGCCCGACCCTCCGCGGGCTGCGCGCGACCGCCCGGCTCAGTTTGGGGCTGAGGCGGGAACCGCCGAACTGGCTGGACGGGCCCTTTCTTCTGAGGACCCGGCCGAGGAGAAGAGGCAGCGCGGCCGGCCCGCCCCGGAGCCCCGAGGTCAGGCCGCGGGCTCTGGGGCTCTCCGGCCGTGGTCCCCCGTCCTTGCCCCGCGTTCCCGGCCGGAGGATCCGCGACCTCGCCGGCGCCGCCCGGCTGCTCCTCGGAGTGTGGCACTGAGCCCTCTGGCGGGGTGATTGGTCCTGCTTGTTTTTGTTCAGGAGAGGCATCTTTCTGAAGGATACCTGTGCTCTTAAAAGTTTTAACCGAAGTGGAAATGCGTGTCCTCGTTTTCTGGACCACTGACGGTTTCCACTCTAGCCGTGGTCTGATATCACATCCACAGTAAAAGCAAGAGAGAAGGGGAAAAGTACCTACAAGACCCCTCTGCAGTTGTTCTCTCCCGCCCGAGAAGGGCAGATGAACTTTGGAGTTAAGATGCAGGGAGGTGAGCCGGCGTCGGTCCTGAAAGTCTCGGAGAGTGAAGGGAAGCTGGAGGGCCTGGCCACAGCGGTGACCCCGAACAAGAACAGCAGCAACAGCAGCTGTGGGGGTGCAATCAGCAGTAGCAGCAGCAACAGCAGTCGCGGTGGCAGTACGAAAGGCTGGCAGTACAGGTATAGTCCTCCAAAGTGACGTTCTGGGGTGGAAGTGAGTGTTTGGGGGTCCACATGTTGCAGTTGGGAGGCCACTTCCGAAGCAGCTGATAATCTTTCTTGGACCTAGAACCCCTGTTTCCATTAACAGGATTCACTTCATCCAGTTCATTCAACAGGTATCTGTTGAAGGCCTTTTGAGGAATTCATAAATGTACCCCAGAATTTCTTCTACTGCCCAAGGGTGTGTTCCTCCTCTGATTTATTTCTGTACTCACTTCTGTTTTTGCCTCTGTTGTAATTTGTTTACAAGTAAGCCTGAATGGCTGTTAGAGAAGAAGCTGTTGAGCTCAGCACTTTCAGCGGCTAGCAAATGCGGGGTGCTCCAAAGTTTGGGACGATAGGAGTAAGGAAAGTATCTTACCCTTTGGGTGCTTGTGATGGAGGGACTTTAATACTTAGGCTTCAGAGGCAAAGAGACAATAGAGTGTAGACAGTTTTCGTCAATATAAATGAAAAATTTAAGGAGCAAGAGTTCCTGGAGAAACAACCAAAGTTTCACTTTTGTGTTTTCTGTATGTGAAGTGTAGGGAGAGATTGCTATCTCTAATTCTAAGAATAAACAGAATCAGGGCTTCCTGTGATGCTGGAACCTACAGTGATGATACTTAAGTTTTGGTTAATTACCTGTGTGTTTAACTCTAGGGTTTTTTCTTTTAAGCTCTGTGACTGCACTTGTGAAACGTGTGTGTGTGTGTGTGTCTGTCTGTCTGTCTGTGTGTTTCATTTTGTGAAAGATGAATATTTATCATGAGTACTATTACGTGAAGTGTTCATGTATTACAATATACAAATATGGGCTGAGTGTGGTGGCACTCCTTAATCCCACCACACTGGAGGCTTAGGCAGGAGGATATCTGTGACTTTCAGGCCAGCCTGATCTGTATGGTGAGTTCCAGGGTAGCCTGGACTACATAGAGAGCCCTATATCAACACCCCCACCAGGACCAAACCAAACCACCTAATATGCAAATATGTGTGTGTGTGAAATATGCATGGCATGACTTTACAGGAATGAGGAGAGTAGGTAGCTTTAATTAGTTGGCAAGTGGGGATTGAACTAAAGTCAGTATGATAGTCTCTCACCCTTTGTGATTTTCTTCATTTTATTTTTTTATGTGTATGAGTATTTGCCCACATGTATGTATGTATCTATGTGTGTTTGCACGTGTGCTTTGGTTGTTGAGACCAGAAGAGGGCATTAAATCCTCTGCAGCTGTTGCTATAGTCAGTTGTGAGCTGATATATGGGTGCTGGGCACCAAACCCCGGTCCTCTGCAAGAGCAGCCAGTGTTCTTCACTACCGAGCCATCTCTCCCGCCCTTTCCCTTTATGAGTTAGGATGAACCATTAGAAAATTCTTCTTGTGGGGATATTTTGATATCATTAAAGGAAATAAGGTAAAGTTCAAGATACCCAGAACCCAGTCTTCTGATAGTCTTAATTCTGAAAACCACTATTTTATATTCGTTGGTGTTTTGTCTGCGTGTATGTCTGTGCGAGGGTGTTAGATCCGAGGGAACTGGAGTTAGAGACAGATATGAGCCACCACATGGGTGCTGGTAATTGAACCCTAGTTCCTGAAATCACTCTGAATTAAAGTGGAAATTTTACTCAGAGCTCAGCTTGTGGTCTCCTTTTCTTGACTTTTCCCCCAGGTTCAGTCTAGAGATGTTTAAAACAAAATAGTAACAATTATAAAATGTGACCTAACCCTTTGCCCTGGAAGGCAGTTTACACTTTCTGCCTCTCTCATTTACTAAGCAGCCTGTGCCGTTTGCTCTGCCTTTACCAAGGAACAGTGCTGTTCCACCTGAGTTCCCTGTCAGTATACATGCCATTGGAAGATTTTCCTGACTACTTATCCCCGAGCCACAGCTGCACCCTCGTCCCATTTTCTTGACTTCCTGACCTTACTTTCTCTTGTTTGTCCCTGTCAAGGTTGCATTGGTTGGCTTTTCTTTGTCCTTCTCCAGGCTGGCTTTATTCTCTTGTGCTGTGGGCTCTTTATCTTTCTGACTTCATCTGATGGAGTCTGAGTCAGGAAAACTTCAGGAACTCTAGAGCCTCGTAGTCAACTAACTGCCTATCTGACCATTACAGAGCTCATCAGTAACTTTGATCTCTACAATAATTTAATGCTATCTCCATTTTGAAAATGTACATTGTTGGGTATACTGTGTGTGTGTGTGTGTGTGTGTGTGTGTGTGTGTGTATGTTTTGAGATAGGACCTCATGTAGCCCAGGCTTGCCCTGAGTTTGCTATGTAGCTGAGGAGGACACTGAACTACTGATCTTTCTGCCTCCAAAGCATTGGGATTATAGGTAGGCTTAAGATGTGAATTAACACTTTTAAAGTGTTAATTAATATCGTATCTAAAACATCTTATAGAAGGATTACATATGTGAAATATTTGTCTTACGTACTTGTCCCCAATCACCCAGTTTCTCTGCCTAGAGAAACTATTTTTACTGATTTTTTTTTTTTATTTGTTTGGTTTTTAGACAGTTTTTCTGTATGACAGGCCTGGCTATCCTGGAACTTGCTTTGTGGACCAGGCTGGCTCTGTACTCACTGAGATCTACCTGCCTCTGCCTCCCAAGTGATGGGACTAAAGGCAAGTGCTACTAATGCCTGGCTCCTTTTTTTTCTTTTCTTTTTAAAAAAATAATTTATTTTTATTTTATTTGCATTGGTGTTTTGCCTTCGTGTATGTCTGTGTGAGAGTGTCAGATTTTGGAGTTACATACGGTTGTTAGCTGCCATGTGGGTGCTGGGTACTGAACCCAGGTCCCCGGAAGAGCAGTCAGTGCTCTTAACCTGTGAACCATCTCTCCAGCCCCTTTTGTTTTTTTGAGACAGGGTTCTGTATATAGTCCTGGGTGTCTTAGGATCCACTCTGTATACCAGACTAGCCTCAAACTCCCGGAAGTCTGCTTGCCTCTGTCATACCCTTCCTTCCTCTCTCTTACACATGTGTCCATGTTTTTATAGGCATGTCCTCATGTGAGTGCAGGTATGCATGCTTGTGAGCACATGGAGCCCAGAACAAGTCATTGGGTTCCTCAGAATTGGAGTTACAGGTACTTGTGAGACATCTGGATTGTTAAGTGGGTGTTGGGGTTGGAACTCCAGCCCTCATGATTGTGCAACAATTGATTCTAACCTCTTACCCATTTCCAGTTCCCGCCCCTTACCTCTACCACCCCATCTTATTTGAGACAGGGTCTTACTATGTAACCTTCGCTGGCCTGAACTTGTTAGGTAGACTAAGCTGGTCTCAAACTCACAGAGATCTCTGCTTCTGCCTCTCCAGTGCTGGGATTAAAGGAGTACAGCACCATGCCTGTTATGAGCACTTGCCTGCCAGCCTGGTCCTGGTGCCTCGTCAGTCCCAAAATAACACACAGAGACTCTTATCAGTTATAAAGCTGTTGGACAATGGCTAGAGCTTCTTATTGGCTAGCTCTGTCTTAAGTATTAACTTATTTCTATCATTCTGAGTGTTTCCACATGGCCTTATCTTACCGGAGAGGCATTCCGGACTTCTGTCACACCCTACGTCTTGACTCCTCACTACTACATCTCCCAGAATCCTCCTTGCCTCCTAATCTCACCTATCTTGCTTTCCTACTGGCCAACAGGGCTTTATTCACTAATCAATTAGAGAAACATATTTACAGGATGATATCTTCCATCACCATGCCTGTCCCTCCAGATAGCCCTATTTCTGGTTTCTTACTGTAGTGCCAGATAAAGTTGTATTATTTCATTATTTACTAAGTGCTTGTTTATATTCAATATTATTATTATTTATTTGTAGCAGTATAGAGAGTCAAACCTCAAACTTTGCAAGTATATAGACATGTAGGCATTTTAGCTGTGTGTGTAGGTATGCGTGTGCCACAGTGTGCATATGGAGGCTAGAGCATAGCCCTCAGGAGTCAGTTCTCTCCTCCTTCTGTGTGGGTTCCCAGGGTTCGTTAGGGTTGGCAGTGAGTGCCTTTCCCCGCTGAGCCATGTCACTGGTCCCTTAGTGCATTTTGTGTGACAGGGAGAGGACTGTTGTGTGTGGTGGGTGCAATTCGACACTGGAGGTTGCCAGCATCTTTCTCAGTTGTTTTCCACTTTATTTTTATTTTAAGTTTTTAAAAATTAGCCGGGCAGTGATGGCATATGCCTTTAATCCCAGCACTAGGGAGGCAGAAGAAGAACTTTTGTCATTCTCTGTGTGTGAGTGTTGGTGTGCCATGGTGCCCGTGTGACGGTCGGAAGCCTGTGTGGAGGTTGATGTTCTCCCTCCACTGTGCATTGCAGAGGTTAAACTAGGGTTGCCAGGCTTGTGGCAAGTGCTTGTGGAGCTTTCTCACCAGCCCTCTCCCCCTTTCTTTTTGAACAGGGTCTCTCACTAAATCCAGAGATCCTCCTTTCTTTGCCTCCCCGACACTGGAAATACAGCTTCACACTGCTGTGCCCAATTGTATGTGGTGCTAGGACCTTACTCTCAGGACCTCCCCACCTTTTTTAAAAGTGATGGAAGAGATGAGCGTCAAGGCCTTACACGTGCTTGGTACATGCTCTGCCACTGAGAGAATTGTATCCTGAGACAAGTTTTCACTAAATTGATCATCAGGCTGGCCTCGAACTCGCTTCAGGTTGTTCTTGAACTTGCCATCCTTTGTCTCAGCATTCCAGGTTGCTGGGATTACTCTGTGTAGCCCTGGCTTCCCTGGAACTCACTTGTAGACCAGGCTGGCCTCAAGCTTTGCCTCCTGAGTACCAGGATTAAGGGCATATGCCACCACCACCCAGCAATTCTTACTCATGTTTTTAATAATGTAGTTTTTTAATGACTCGTTTCAAAATGTAGGTAAAGTGAGTTTGGTGGTGCACACCTTTAATCTCAGCACTTAGGAACCAGAGGCAGGTGAATTTCTCTGAGTTTAAAGCCAACCTGGTT